AGTCTAGTCTATAGTCTAGTCTATAGTCTAGTCTATAGTCTAGTCTATAGTCTAGTCTATAGTCTAGTCTATAGTCTAGTCTATAGTCTAGTCTATAGTCTAGTCTATAGTCTAGTCTATAGTCTAGTCTATAGTCTAGTCTATAGTCTATAGTCTAGTCTATAGTCTAGTCTATAGTCTAGTCTATAGTCTAGTCTATAGTCTAGTCTATAGTCTAGTCTATAGTCTAGTCTATAGTCTAGTCTATAGTCTAGTCTATAGTCTAGTCTATAGTCTAGTCTATAGTCTAGTCTATAGTCTAGTCTATAGTCTAGTCTATAGTCTAGTCTATAGTCTAGTCTATAGTCTAGTCTATAGTCTAGTCTATAGTCTAGTCTATAGTCTAGTCTATAGTCTAGTCTATAGTCTAGTCTATAGTCTAGTCTATAGTCTAGTCTATAGTCTAGTCTATAGTCTAGTCTATAGTCTAGTCTATAGTCTAGTCTATAGTCTAGTCTATAGTCTAGTCTATAGTCTAGTCTATAGTCTAGTCTATAGTCTAGTCTATAGTCTAGTCTATAGTCTAGTCTATAGTCTAGTCTATAGTCTAGTCTATAGTCTAGTCTATAGTCTAGTCTATAGTCTAGTCTATAGTCTAGTCTATAGTCTAGTCTATAGTCTAGTCTATAGTCTAGTCTATAGTCTAGTCTATAGTCTAGTCTATAGTCTAGTCTATAGTCTAGTCTATAGTCTAGTCTATAGTCTAGTCTATAGTCTAGTCTATAGTCTAGTCTATAGTCTAGTCTAGTCTAGTCTAGTCTAGTCTAGTCTAGTCTATAGTCTAGTCTATAGTCTAGTCTATAGTCTAGTCTATAGTCTAGGCTATAGTCTAGTCTATAGTCTAGTCTATAGTCTAGTCTAGTCTATAGTCTAGTCTATAATCTAGTCTATAGTCTAGTCTAGAGCTATATGTTATCTCCCCATTGTGCTAGAATTGAATATGTTTGGTCTGAAAATTGTGAGTTTGTACTATTTGGTAAATGTTTGTTATTTCAATTATTTTTAGTTCCGCTGTCTGTTTATGCCATACGTACAACAACCCTTTCGTTAACAAAACAACCCAAAAAACAAAAAACACACTGTTAATTGTCAAAGTGATCATGTCGATCAGTCATTCAATCAATTCTTCTTCCCTCATACTTTTATTTTTTGATGATCATTTAGTCATCAAAAAATAAAAGTCTCACCAATTTGAGTCTGGGAAGTGCCTTTTACGTTATAATTTTTTTTTTTTTTTTTGGTTTTATGTTATTTATGAGTTAAAAATAAACTGTCGCATAGAACGACGATCACAGCGCCTTAATCAAAATTCAAGAATAAATTCATTGATGAATTGAACAATTTTTTTATTTTTTCACTTGTATACGAAGTGCGAGAGAAAGAGAGTGTGTGATTGAGTTGAGTGTTGTAAGTATTTTACGATCATTTTGTTATTCTTACACCAGGTTATAAAGTTTTATTCATTTTAATTATTATTTTTATTATTCTTACAATAAATATTAACAATCTGTTGACAACTGTTCTGGATGAATGTGTGAGCGAGTGAGCGTGTGTGTGTGTTGGAAAGGAAAGCGAAAATAAAAGTTCTTCTGCTTCTTGAGCGTTAATGTTTGATATGAAATTTGTCAGCAAGTCAGTTTAATCGTGAGTTTCATATCGTTTGGTCGGGTTTTCGGTTTGGGAAGAAATCGCTTAAACTTGTGCTAATTTTGTTGGTGATTTTTGGGATAAAGTGAGTTTGTCTCTAAAAAAGATGTGAAAAAACGCCCTTAATTTTTATAAAATTATCAAAACTGATAAAATTTTTAATAAATTTTATGTTTATGTGGAAAAATTTTTGCGTTAAAATTTTTACGCAAATTATACATTAATAGTAATTTAAGTCTCATAAAGATAAAATATTGATTAAGCTTTTTTTATTACACTTTTATAAACATTTAACAAAAAATTATAACACAAAAACCCAAACATTTTTCTTGACGAATCTCAGTGACACATTATTTTAACATTCAAGAGATTATTTATTTATTTATAAAAAGCAACAAAATGTGCTTCTTGATCTTGAAATACCAAAAAAAAAAAAAAAAAAAAACAAAGATTTTTATTTTTAATCTATAAATTATTTGAAATCAACCGTGGTGCCAACATTTTTCATAAGATAAACCCACAACGGCAAAAACAACTGCGACAGCAGCAGCCCACAAAAAACAAACAACAATAGAAAAATAAATAAAAATACAAAAAAAATTGTTGTATAAATATAAAATAAATTAAAAAAATATACTTTAATCATACATTTGCTACAAATACAATTTTGGCTTATAAACTAATAATGAAATGCTTAAAAAGTGTTTAATGTGTGCAAAATCAGCAAAATATGTATCATTATTAATAATCCTCATTAATAATTTTTAGATAAAATCATGAATTTATATTGATTTATATGATTGCTTTTTCCGATTAGTCAACAAATTAAAAAATAATAAATAAATTTATTTTAAAGCTGAGCTGAGCTGAAAGCTGAGTTTTAAAATAATATCCGATCTTCACAGAGTTTGCTAGTGAGATCAACTCTGTGATGGTGGGATAATAATGGAACTAAAATCCAGGCATGGAAAATTGAAATTTAGAAATAGTACTAACTAACAACTAGACTATATAATAGACTACAGACTATACTATAGACTAGACTATAGACTAGACCATATACTAGATTATAGACTAGACTATAGACTAGACTATAGACTAGACTAGACTAGACTATAGACTAGACTATAGACTAGACTATAGACTAGACTATAGACTAGACTATAGACTAGACTATAGACTAGACTATAGACTATACTATAGACTATACTATAGACTAGACTATAGACTATACTATAGGCTAGACTATAGACTAGACTATAGAGTAGACTTTAGACTAGACTATAGACTAGACTATAGACTAGACTGCAGACTAGACTATAGACTAGACTATAGACTAGACTATAGACTAGACTATAGACTAGACTATAGACTAGACTATAGACTAGACTATAGACTAGACTATAGACTATACTATAGACTATACTATAGACTAGACTATAGACTAGACTATAGACTAGACTATAGACTAGACTATAGACTAGACTATAGACTAGACTATAGACTAGACTATAGACTAGACTATAGACTAGACTATAGACTAGACTATAGACTAGACTATAGACTAGACTATAGACTAGACTATAGACTAGACTATAGACTAGACTATACTAGACTATAGACTAGACTATAGACTAGACTATAGACTAGACTATAGACTAGACTATAGACTAGACTATAGACTAGACTATAGACTAGACTATAGACTAGACTATAGACTAGACTATAGACTAGACTATAGAATAGACTATAGACTAGACTATAGACTAGACTATAGACTAGACTATAGACTAGACTATAGACTAGACTATAGACTAGACTATAGACTAGACTGTAGACTAGACTATAGACTAGACTATAGACTAGACTATAGACTAGACTATAGACTATACTATAGACTATACTATAGACTAGACTATAGACTATACTATAGGCTAGACTATAGACTAGACTATAGAGTAGACTTTAGACTAGACTATAGACTAGACTATAGACTAGACTATAGACTAGACTATAGACTAGACTATAGACTAGACTATAGACTAGACTATAGACTAGACTATAGAATAGACTATAGACTATACTATAGACTACTAGACTATAGACTAGACTATAGACTAGACTATAGACTAGACTATAGACTAGACTATAGACTAGTCTAGACTAGACTATAGACTAGACTATAGACTAGTCTATAGACTAGACTATAGACTAGACTATAGACTAGACTATAGACTAGACTATAGACTAGACTATAGACTAGACTATAGACTAGACTATAGACTAGACTGTAGTTTAGACTATAGACTAGACTATAGACTAGACTATAGACTAGACTATAGACTAGACTATAGACTAGACTATAGACTAGACTATAGACTAGACTATAGACTAGACTATAGACTAGACTATAGACTAGACTATAGACTAGACTATAGACTAGACTATAGACTAGACTATAGACTAGACTATAGACTAGACTATAGACTAGACTATAGACTAGACTATAGACTAGACTATAGACTAGACTATAGACTAGACTATAGACTAGACTATAGACTAGACTATAGACTAGACTATAGACTAGACTATAGACTAGACTATAGACTAGACTATAGACTAGACTATAGACTAGACTAGACTAGACTATAGACTAGACTATAGACTAGACTATAGACTAGACTATAGACTAGACTAGACCATAGTCTCCCTTGGTCTGTGTACTATGTGATATGACTTAGATTTCCAGAGTTGCTTATGCCGTAATTCCCAAGCTAAAATCTTAGCATAAAAAATAGCTACCCTAATGTGTAAAGATAAAATAAGATTAAAACATAATTTTATTTTCAAAAATCTAAAAACATGATAGTCAGCAACAAAAAAAAAAAAAAAAAATAATTGTCTAGATTTAATTTCATTTAACGCCATCTTTAAGATATAGAGATTTTAAAATACATAATTAAAAATAAAAATTATAAAAAAATTAAATGTTGGTTGCAAAACACGCACAAAATTGTGTATGTTAACGAAATAACTCGAATAAAAGGGGGAATATTTAAAAATTATAAAAAACTAAAACAACTTAACAAGTTTATCTTTAAGAAAAGTGTGAAAATGTTAAGAAGCTATAATTAAAATAAAATTATGTCAGATTAAATGGCATAAGTTGATAATTTACAACAGTGAGAGAGGTTAACAAAAATTTTAAGGAAATTTTTGTAATAAACTTGAATATGTTATTTCTGTTGATAAGAACTTTTGAAAAAAAAAAACTAAAATTTTAATAGACATTTTATTTTTTGTTTTCTTTGCAGTTGGGGCGGCCATTAAACTCTTTAAAAAGTCGTTAACTTCAAAATGTCAGCGTAGACCACAATTTAAAAAAAGCAGTGTAATAGTTGTATGTAAAATTGAAATTAAAAAAAAAAGAGTTTTAAAAAAGCGGCATAAAATTTTATTACCACATGTAACTGCAAATTGTTGCATTGTTACTCGAAAGTACTGGATGCAGCCTCTTGTAAAAAACCATAAACTCGAACAAAGAAGTTTCTTAAATTGAAAAAAACACCATAAAAATAAAATTAAATTTAGTAGCCCTATTTAAAAATTAAAAAACAAAACAAGTGCAAAATAATAATAAGTGTTGAGAAATCAAATTGAAAATTTTTTAATTTTTAAACAAAAAAGAAAATCAAGTGTTTTTTTATATCTTCTGTTGAAAAATTATAAAAAAATTTTATATAAATATTGTGTAAACAACTAAAATGAATTTTTAGTGAACATTTTTAATTGTGAAATATTTTCTTGTTATTATTTTTTGTATATATTTTTTTTCTTATATACATTTTCAAGTGTTTCATTGTAGTTTTATATTAAATATTTTCTTTTATTGAAAAGTGTTCTTATTTTCTTTACGAAATTCTTTTTTTTACAGAGTGCTAAAACAAATGATTTCAACGAAATAATTTTAACAAAGAAATTAAATTTTTTTTATTAAAAGAAAAAAAGAATTTAACATATATTTTTATATTAAAAAGTGAATTTGTTGCAAGAAAAGGCAGTAAAAATTAAAGGCAACAAGTTGTATACATTTGGCACCATGGAGGGAGGTTATGTTAATGAAGGTAAGTCGTAAGAAAATATATTAAAATAATATAAATATTAGATTTTAAATTCATAGATTTATTTAGTTTTTTGTTATCAATATTATTTGCAAAATTATTTTTTAAAATCATTTATCACAATCAATTGAAACCTTCTGCAATCCAAATTTGTCAACTATAATTTTCAAAATATGCGTTGAACTCCAATCTAGTCACAGAGATATCGTGTCCTAAAATTAAAAAAAAAAAATACTATTTTGGCAATATTTGACAAGTTATAAAAGGCCGAAGACATCTTTTTAAATAAATTCGTTTACGTTGTCTAAAAGTTCAATCTGTTGACTTTATAATAAAGTCATAAAAATTATGACAAATTGTGACATGTATGTAAGTAAGTTTATTGTAATATTAGGCAGAAATGTTGTAAAAATCTGTTTTTGTAAAATTATGTTTTAAAGCTTTATGTGAATATATCTTGAAGAAGGAAATAGATATAACAGAGGTTAAATCTTTATTTTAAAGTCTACTAATTGGACTTTCTCCATTCTTAACTTTACGAAAACTACTTTTTTTCGTAATATTTACGAAAATTTCTTGTATAATACGAAATAGTATTTAATCAAATTATTTTCTAATTTTACAAAAGTACTATAACATTTTTTATAAAATTTAAGAAAATAAAAAATTAAATTTACAAATTATTTTCATAACGTAAAAGAAAAATTACAAGAAAATATTTTAAAATAAGCAAATTAATTCCAAATTTTTATTTTATAATTTATGTAATTTAAATTTTCTAAATTTTTTTTTTCATTATACTAAAATATTTCGTACAATTTCGTATATATTACGAAACAATTTCATTCGTACAATGTACGACATTTTTCGTATATATTAGGCATGGATTATTTTTAGTGCAGATGCCATAACAGATTTTACAAACAAAGATATTTTCACCCTGTTAAAACGTCTCAAATATAGTCAAAAAGTGGGTTTTTTAACGCACTATATCTCGAGAACTTGATGTGATGGAGGAATGCCGAGAATCTGAGAATTTAATCTTTCAGAAAAGTTTCTGGATTAAAAATGTTGACCTATGTAGTTTCTAGGTTTACTATTAAGAACGATTCAAAAAGTATTAGTTGAAGAAATATAAATTTTCTTTACAACAGGATCCTATATGTCCGATATATCATTATTGACAAACAATCCGTTGCGAATAGTGAGCTTACCACGTTTGTTAACATTTTGACAACGGATGTGTATAAAATTTAGATTTCGACAACGAATTGTTGCAATGTATATACTTGTATGTATATACTTTGACGACGGATGTTATTGAAAAATTATAAACTCTTTGGTGTCAATTTGATACCAGGCGTGTATATTTCTTTTTCCCTCTGTGTACTTCACTGCACGCTAACTGGAAAGTAGAGTCGAAGAGACTCCGTTTTGTTCGGATCACTCCACTCGTCAGATGTAGTATTGTATAGTATTAGATCCAGCCTGTACCTGTCAGAAATCTCAGGATATCTTTAAGCTTAAGTCATGTCTGCCTATCACCCAGTGTCCTGTTACTACTGCTATCAATCTCGATATAAGATGTCTTGTGCGTTTCTCATTGAAAGAGGGCCACAATAACTTGGCTCCTTTACATGTGTCTACGTTATTCCACCTATTTGCAGTCTTTTGAAGAAAGTATCTGAGGATACTGCTCTTGATAAAACCTAACACATTCGCTACCGAAACGTCGTTGTTCATATCAACAGCCGATCCCGTTCTGGCAAGCTCATATGTCTCATATTCATTTCCATAACAGTCCCAATTCGGAGGAACCCAAACAAGGGTAATGTCTGAAAGGCGTACAAGCAATGACAGATACTTCTTGCATTGTCTAACAGATAGGGAAGTGGTATTTATAAGAGTTTACTGAGAGAAGTGCCGCTAGACTTTGGAGGAGGGAACTACTAAATTATTCTAAATAGTAGTAAAAAAGCACTTTCTTTCTTTTTTTCAAAAAATTCATCAATAAAATTCGCTTATTTGCAAAAAGAAAATGTTTTTCTGAAATAGTAGTAGAAAAGTACTTTTTACACATTTTAATTATTACAATACAAAATAAAATTTAAAGATTTTTTTATTATAAAAATGTATTTTAATTGTTATTAAAAGAAAAATTGGCGTTTTACAAAGTAAACTTCAGATATTCTTAAAAAAATGTTTAAATGCTCCATATCTAAGGAATCTCACATTAAATTATTCTTCAAAAGAAGTGTTAAAAAACATTGCTTTAAATACTACTAGATATTACATGTTCATTTATGTTTTTTATTATTATTCTAAGCATTAAAAAATCATTAAATACATAAACGTAAACTACAAACTGCCCACATTTTTCCGGTCATTGAGGTGGTGGTGTTACCACCTTATTCATGTAGCATATAGTACATGCCACCCAAACGTATATGCTCATACAATTTACAACACGTTTACGAACATGTTTTGTTATTACAATAATTTTTTTTCTTTTGGGTTTTTATTTTTGTTTATCTTAAGTATAAGCTTTTTGTTAAAATATTTACGAAAATGAAAATATTTTTATTTTTGGTTTTATTTTTTTTTGTGTAAATACATACTCATACGTACTCGTTGGAACGTAAAACAGATGTCAATTTTTGGCACCTTGCGGTAACGTAGGAGAGATAGAGACCCCCTACACTTTGCCCCAAATTTTCAGTTAACAAAATTCAAAGTCAAAAAAATTTATACACATACTTATACATACATATAAAGAACACAAACGTCAGGCAGGTTACATGCACAATTTCAAACTCAAAAAAAAAAAAATAAAAATAGTGTAAAACAAAATTCTAAATAAAATTTTGAAAATTATCCGAATGCTGCCTCAGCCCCACCCCAGACGGAATTTATTTAACATTTACCCATAAATTTTTTTTGACTTTGAATTTTTTTCTTTCTTTCAAATGTTTGTTATTTTTTTCTTTAAAAAATTTTTAGTTTTTAAAAAGGGGAGCATTAAAGAATTCTTCATGTTTACGCCAGCTCATGAAATAATTTACACTTTATTTTTATCGTTTGAACATTTTGACATTTCTCTGTTTTTATATTTTTTTTACAAGTGATTTTTGCAATTTTTAAAAATTAAAAAAAAAAATTATTTTAAAGCAAATTTTATTTGTTTAAACTTTTTCAAATGTCATAGACAAATTAGCATTTAGTTAGTCATCATTGTTTTTCAAATTATTAGTCATCTATGGGATGCACTTGCACATCTTTATGGTAATTTTTTTTCTCTCTTTTGTTAATTTTTCGTAATAATTTTTAAAATAAAAAAATTACTTAATTTACATAATTTCTTTTTAAATATAAAATTTTGCTTAAGATGACAAAATAAATATTTATGATTTAATGTTTCTTTTAAACAAATGCTGCTTCTATAGAGGATTCTGATGCCATAATAGGAGTGGAAAGTCCAGGTAAATGTTTAAGTTGAAAACGTATTATTTTTAAAATTTATTTCATAATTTTGTAAAATTTATTATCTACAGATAACATTTTTAATGGTAGACAATAAATCTTACCTTTCATAATTTAGTTTTGACATATTTTAAAAATTATTAGCTTAAAAGCTTTTTTAGAATATTAAAAAAAAACTTTTGAGGAAAAATTATTAATTTTAAATTAAATTTTTTAAAATGTAAAACTTTTTCATAAAATATGTCTGTAGAATAGTTTCGTATTTGAATACCTAGCAAAAAATTGTTAATGTTCCCAGCAAAAACTTGGTAATGACTTGTACTTACACAACAACTTAAGTTTAAATGACTACCACATACTGTCTGCATTACCTATAAGTATTCTTATAATGAACTACATATAATCAGCAACGTAAGTTCTTTATTTTAAGTTTTGCCATAAAACAAAACAACTTTTTAACTTCTTGTTTGTAAGTACTTATTTAAGTAGTTATTTGTAAGCGATCGTGGTACTTGCCTCCAATGTCTTCACCTTGTTAAAATAATAAGCTAAATTCTAATGAAAAATTAGTAAAAATCGACTTTTTAACTTCTTTCAGGTTTTCCTTAAAATAGGTAAACCAACTTGGTTTCTTGACTAGCAACTTTGGAATAAGTTGCCATTTATCTCGAATATTGTTGATATCCTAAATTAGGAACTAAGTTATATAGAGTTATCTATAAAAAAAGAAAAACTATCTCAAAAATTTTCTAAAAACTAGAAGAGGGTGAAAGGACATATTAATAAATGAACTGAATTCACTCAAAATATATATGACGCATATCGCAACTATAACGCTTATAACCTGATCTCGACCAAAAGAAAAACTAGATCCGAAATTGTTCACTATATAACGATACAACGTTTACCTAGAACTACTTCTGAAGGTAATAATTTTAAACAAAAATCATTGGAAATAGTTAAGAACCCAATACATGTTTTTGGGTTAATTTCATTCCAATGTTCGACTTCGCTGGTTTAAGATAAAGAAGTGAACCCAAACAAGACATTTTAAAATTTTCCGTTTCCAAAAGTTGGGGTTTAGAAGATAGAACACTCTATGTTGTTAACAACAAAACCGAGACAAGAACGTCACTGCTTATCGCGAAAGGCACTCAGAAGTAACTTCCACGATGACAAGTGTTTACTTATTTAATCGTCGAGGTTTAATTATTTCGAACTTCTGTAGGGAATAACTTTTTCTTGTGTAGCCGTTTTCTCTGAAACATGTGGAAGTGCTTTAAACAGAAGTAAAACAAATTAAATGGTTCTCTCATTTTATCGTTTAAATATCATTTTTCTGATTTTCAGTGTAAGTGACTTAAACGTATACTTCTAGATGATATTTTTTGTTTACACAATATCAATATTTCAAATATCGTTCACAAGGGACTTCAACGTAAACGTATATCGGGGTATCAAAATTATTTGCTAATGTCTATGAACTAGTCCATTCACTATACAGTAAACTAGTATATAGATTA